CGCTACTTGTTCGTAGGAATAAACAGTAGCAAAGCTAACAGTTAACATTAACAGTTTTGTTAAATACAATTCAAAGTGTTGGTATTGCAAGCATGTACAAGCTCATAAATTACTCCTTTGTTATTCTCTTTGTCACTGAATTAAACTATTTTACTTTGAAGTAGCAAAGTGCTTCCATCTTAGTTTGTCAGCATATTAAACATTAAAGAAAAGTGTGCTCATAGAATAATAACTAAATGTAAATAGAGTGTTTCACATTAAAAATTCAAAGTTAATTTGAGGACCCATCAGAAAAATAATATCCAATATTGTTTGAACTGTTTTCCAATTATAATCCATCATTAAACACAATATACCATACATACGATCAAAACACTAGGCAGATATTCTAAAAAGGATCTAAACTATTCCTTTAGAGCCAAGGTGGCGCAGTGGTTAAATGCAGCACTGCAGGCTACTGCTAGATCAGCAGNGCTCCAGAGGCCCTCCCTGAAGCCTCCCAGTGCCAAAAATGGAGCATGGGAGCCCCCGCTGCACCCCCGCCCCCAATGCATGCCCATACGTCTTCCACATGCACAGCAGACCCAAAAAATCAGCTGGATGGCGGGAGGCACGCACACATGCGTGGTGGAGCTACACTGGGCAGTGGCTTGTGTGCCCGCAGAGAGGGCTCCCCATGCCACCTGTGGCATGCATGCCATGCGTTTGCCATCACGGCTCTAGGCAAACAGACAGTATTGGCATATTTCTTTTGATGGGTACTCTGCCATATGTACCTGCTTACTCTCTTGTAGTCCCTTTCTCTCCCATGAATATACATTCAAATATTAATTCTCTTCTTGCTAATTAATTCTGAGATGAATAATGTAGGGAGGAAAACAAAGTGGTGAAAATATTATTAAACAGTTTTTCTACTTTAGATCTTTATTTTATGATCATATATTTATGTATTTTCTTCTGACTATAGGTATATTTATGCACATATACTATGATATATCAGCATATCCCATTGTGTGAAATTGTATGTCCACATTGAAATATCAGAAAAGTAAAAGTAACTGAATAATATTAAATACACTGACAGATACCTGTGCAAATTTTAGTCCGAAACTGCATTTCTCCCAAATGGATATAGCTTGTATTAAACTGATTTATCTGTGAAATTCTACACCCTTCTTCCTTTTATACCATTTCTTCTCCATAAATACTTTTTATAATGATGCATATATAAAAGTCTACATCAGAACCTGTAAATAGTTTCTTTTCTGAAAAAAATGCATGAATAACCTAATTTTAAACACTAGATGAAAATCTGTAGGAAATCTGTAGTCCTTTTCTAGTAGCTTTTTAATAATAGTATTTTAGTGATTCACATTCATTCAGGCACAATAACTTTTTAAATACGTGGTTGTTTTGTTAAGGAAGCCTAAATTTACAAGCAAGTTGCTTATATATAGCCTAAGTACTATTTACGTATACTTATGAAGTATATGCAAATCGTGTTTAGACTATATATAGGCAATTTGCCTCTAAATTTAGGCTTGCTTTACAAAATAATCATGCATATTCTGTCAAAACGTAGCATATTACAGTAAGTCCTCAAGAATACCTTATAAATCTTTAATTTATAAGTCCTTCGGGAGTGGGCGGCATACAAGACCAATAAACTCAAACACAAACACAAACTCAAACTCAAACTCAATTTTGCCAAGGGTCCTGTGTTAGGCACTTCTTTAAACTTAGATTTTCTTGACATGAAATTACAATGCTGGGGAAAGTAATTTGCCAATTACATTTAAATTTTTTTTCTACTATTATTAAATGATGGTATTGAAAAATGGTGGTACTCTCAAAGGCAGATTTTCCGTACCCATATTTCCCCGAAAATAAGACCGGGTCTTATTTTCTTTTGGGCCCCAAAATAAGCACTAGGGCTCATTTTTGGGGGTGTGTGTCAATTTTTCCCCTATATACGGGAGGCTGACTTCTGCTTGCCTGCACTGGCTTACCTCAGGGCCCCCGCAGGGAGGCTACCCACGCCTCAACACCTTCCTCGCCTCACAGCAGCGACTATGGCAGCTCTCTCCAGCAGGAATCCGTGTGGCCACCAGCCCACTCCTTCTGCTTGCTTGTGGCTGCAACGGAGCAGGAGTCCGAGTGATGTGTTGGTACCGTGGCCGCTAGGTAAGGTGGAGGGTTGAAGCTGCCCCGTGCATCCTGAACCAGCTTACCTCAGAGTCCACCCCCTCCAGCCAGGCCATCCACGCCCCGACAGTTGCCTTGCCTTGTGGTCACAGCACTGACACCAGCACACCACTTAGCCGAAGAAGTGGCCTCCTGCACATGGTTGTTGGTGCCGCTGCCGCAATTGGAGCACAAATGGCCTGGATGCAGGGGCCCTGAGGTAAACCGGTGTGATGTGCGTGGAGCAGCTCCACCCTCCCGCCTTGCCTTGTGGCACGGTGAACAACCAGACAGAAAGGGCGGCTTCGCAGGCTCTTAAATAGGATTTATTTTGGGGGTAGGGGGTTATATTAGGTGCACACATATAAAACATGCTAGGGCTTATTTTCAGGATAGGTCTTATTTTGGGGGAAATGGTATTAACATATATCACCTCTTCAGAGATATGCCTACAAAAGAAAAACCCTGTATAGTTCATGTAAACATAAAGAGCTGCAGACACGATCAGTTGGATTATTGGACTGTAGAATGTTTCCCACAGAATCTTGCAAACTTGCTTTAATGTGCTGCTTGGACTTCTACTTGCCAATCTGTTGCTTTGAATGATACCATAAAAGATTGGGCTATCAAACAATTTTGTGACAAATATCAGCTTTCTCAATTAACAACTAATTACCTATGCATCAGCGGTGGGTTTCAAATTTTTTAGAACCTCTTCTGTAGGTGTGGCCTGCTTTGTGGGAGTGGCTTGCCAGCCATGTGACCGGGTGGGAGTGGCTTGCCAGCCATGTGACTGAGTGGGAGTGGCTTGGCCATCATGTGACTGGCTGGGCGTGGCCAACTTGTAAAATGTGGTGAAACTCACTTAACAACGCTCTTGCTTAGCTTAGAAACTCTGGCATTTGAAGCATGCAAGTC